AAAACAGTTCCCTAAAGCTAAGGGGTTTACACAGCTCGTGGAAGTGTGTGAATTAAACATTTTTTCCCTCCTAGGGCCTGGCTGAGAGTAGCAGGCCGGGCGGAGTGGGAGTTTTGGAGGCAGAAAGGTGGTGGATGAGTCTGGACCGTGGGAGAGGAAGACAGGGTTCAGTGGGTGGCTCTAAAATGCAACATGAGGCCAAGGGGTGCTGGTGGCACCATGGTGAATTCACTCAGCTGCTAACAGACGGCGGCAGTTCCTGGTGGGGACGGGGTCCTGGGAAAGGCAGGCGGAAGACCTGTGGATCTGTCCCCATAGAGCTCACAGCCTAGGAAAGCCTATGCGACCTGTGCTCCTCCGTCGTCAGGCTGCTGTGAGTCAGACTGAGCCCATGACACACACCACCAATAAAAGCCGGCGGTGAGCAGTCCTGGTGCGGTACAATCGATTAAGCACTGGGCTGTCAAGAAGTAAGCCACCCAGAGGCTGGGAGCGGACAGGGGCTTCGGATCTGCTCCAGAAGGATCAGCCATTGAAAACCGTGCGGAGCACAGCTCCACTCTGACATCAGCTGGCGTGAACTGGAAGTGGTTCAGTACAGGAGGCGGAAGGATGCCCGAGAGCCCCGTCTTACAGTCACCTGAGCCTTGCCAGCCAGCCAGCCAGTTACCTATGCTAACCAGAAAGGAGCCCTTTGTCTGGCATGTGGGGGGAAGGTTAGACTGTCCACTCCCGTGAAGAGTCAGTCTGGAGTCCCACAGGGGCGGCTCCACCCTGTCCAATAGCATTGTTATGACTCAGAATGGACTCAAAGATGGAAGTTTGTTGTTGTTTTGTTTCCACTCCGGCTCAGCCTGGGCTACAGGTAAACAGGAGTTTGATTCCTTGGCCTTTAACTCCCTTTCCCAACCCTATGCCGACTCCCCTCCCCTCACCCCCCATTTACATCTAGATTTTTCTCAGCAAGAGCCCTAGGAGCTCTGGCTGCTTCTTCCAGCAGGGTTTAACAGTCAGAGCAAGATTGGATCTCTGCTGTGGGTGCAGAGGAATGACAGGCAAAGTTCCCCTGACTTAGAAATGAAAGGCCCACTTGAAAGTGTAGTCTCCTTCCACTTTGGATGAGCACCTTAATGTCGAAGCCCCGCAGGGTTAAGCCCTAGTCTTGTTAACATCAAGAGCCAAGTGCATCATGTACATAGACCAAGTAGGCCCACTTTGTTGTTGCTGTTGAAAACCAGTATTTTAAAAATAGTGCTCCTTCCCCCACCCTCACCAAAAAACCCACATTTGAGTAGTATTAATATTTGGCTTGAAGACTGGTCGCACATGGAGGCATTTTAGGCTTCGGACACAGTGTACATTAAAATGTAAACTCTGGACTGGCCAGCTTAAAAGATACCCCTTTTCCTACCACCCCGCTCCCATTATAAAATACATCGTTTGCCCTTTCTACCCCGATCGCCATCACAGATTTCTTCCTTCCAAACTGCCCTGCAGTTTCTCTTAAAACATTGGACTAGTATAGCTAGTACATGATCACACACTGAGATTTTAAAAAGAAGTCCACTCATGCAAATAACCGTCCCGGGCTGGTTCCGATCGTGCCGCAGGCAGACCTGCTGGATGGTTTAACTGTTGAGTTCTGCCGTCTCGTCGATCTCGTCTGGGTTCTTGGTCATTTTCTCGTATTTTCTTTTAAAGAAGCCGAGCTGTAAAGTTGAAGGTGCTAACATGTTAGCCCATCGATGACTTATTTTGTATGGTCCCTTTAAGGCCCACTGTCCCTTTAAAGCCCACATTCAAGCTGCTAAACTAAAGGTCAGAGGATTCAGAGGTGCCTCAGAAGAAAGACCTGGAGATCTGCTTCGGAAAACCAAGCCAGAGTTCCGCTCTCCACTGTGGTGCAGACACACCCATGGTCGCCATGAATCCCAGTGGACTGAGCAGCATCGACGGTGGTATTTGCTCACCTTTGCTGCCCACTTTCTCTAAAGACCCCTTTCCCTGGGGCCCTCAAGAATACAGTGTGGAAACCACTGACTTGGTATTGCCACCCTGAAGAAGAAATTCGTGTCTAGAGAATTTAACCAAATTGTATACACTTAAATTTCTCAAAGACAACTTATTTACAGCAGAGCGAAACCAGCCACCCTTGGCTAAAAACAAAACAAAATAAAATAAAACAAACTCACTGCCATGGAGTTGTTTCCAACTCATAGAGACCCTGTAAGACAAGAAAAAGGATAAGCACCATATGGTCAGATAAGAACGCGATGCAGTAAAATACCCAACATTCGTTCCTAATAAAAGCTCTCAAGGAGATAGGATGAGAAGGGAAAATCCTCAACACAATACAGCCCATATATGAAAAAAACAACAGCCAATATTATACTCAATGGCGAAAAGCCAAAAGCAGTTCCACTGAATAAGGGATCCCGACAAGAATATCCCTTATTCCCACTTCTATTCAACACTGTGCTGGAAGCCCCAGCCAGTACCATAAGGCAACAGCAAGAAATCTAGGGAGTGGAAAAGACAAGGAAGAAGTGAAACTTTGGTTATTTAAAGATGATAGGATTTTATATATTGAGAATCCAAAGGGGGTCCCTAATAGAATTGCTGGGAAAAAACCAGGAGTTTATTAGAGAAGCAAGATACAACATTAAGAAGCAGAAATCAATTGGATTCCTATATACCAGTGATGAGAATACTGAAAAGGACATCAAGAAACAATAACAATCACAATAGCCACACAAAAACTGAAATACCTAGAAACAGGCCTAACCAAGAAAACGAAAGGCCTGTACACAGGAAACTACAAAGCATTCTTACAAGAAACCCAAAGGGACCTACACCAATGGGAGAATATCCTGTGTTCATGGATTGGAAGACTCACTATTGTGAAAATGTCAAAGCTACCTAAAACAATCTACAAATTCAATGCAATCCTGACCTAAATCCCAACATCCTTCTCTAAAGAAAGGGAAAATACCTAATTACCAACCTCTTACGGAGAGGGAAGCCCAGGATAGGCAAAGAACTCCTCCAAAAGAGGAACAAAGTAGGTGGTCTTGCTCTTCCTGACCTCAACACCTCCCCTACAGGCACAGTGGTCCAAACAGCCTGGACCTGGTATAACGTAGAGACACGGACCAATGGATCAGGACAGAAAACCCAGAAATCACAACGTCCGCATACAGACAACTGATGCTTGACAAAGGCCCAAACCCCACTGGGTGAAGTGGAATCTACCTCCGTGTAACCTGAGGACCTAAGTCTGAGAATACATGGTGTCTGAGGAATCAGAAGACAGGCGTACCAAGATTGTTGAACTGTTGGTAGGCAGACAAACAAGGTCTTGCTACATCGATGCTCTATATGCTTTATTAAGATACGTATTATTCCGGCAAACCTGTGACTAACATTCTCAGTGATTATTATTGTAAACTTTCCCTGACAATTATCTGCCACTGTTTTTGGAAATAGTGTCAAGCCATGAAACGATTGATTCTGTACAAGTAAATAATTCAGGTACTGTGAAATGGAGTTATCCTATTTTGGTCCAATGTCCCCTTTTCAATAGGGCTTTAAAAAATTAGTACCAGGGGCTAGTCAAAGACAATATTTACGGAAGATTGTTATGCCCT